ACATTTATTGAGAAATCACAATGGTGGTTATTGTTTTCAGAGCTCTCTATGTATTAACTTATTAAATCCTCAAACAGCTCTATGAGGTAGCTACTGATATTTATCCACTTTGTAAAGAAACTGCAGCGCAGACTCAAAGGCCTCAGAATTGGAAAGTGGCAGAGCCAGATTTTAAACCCAGGTAATCTGGCTTCAGAGTCAACATGCTTGACTACTCTGGTAGGTGTGAGTTAAGATAGGTAGGTTATCTGACATCATGAACATAAAACTTTAGTTTTTCACAAAACAAAAGATTGTTTCTTCCCTATGCAAAGTGTGTGGTGCAATCCCTGCCTTCAGGCCTTTTGCAAGTTAATAGATATCTTGCTGTTGATTTTCAGTTCTAAAATTCCAAGATACTACAAAAAGCAACCACAATAACCAGCCCTCCAGTGCTTTACATTCTACAGACTCAGGAATTATCTAAGGAGTTTCTTCCTTCTTTGCCTAATCCTGAACCACTTGGCTTTAGTGTTAACTCGGTCACAGCAGCAGATAAACATGTGCTCATCACTTTAAAAACACTGGTGTATGTATACACTGTTCATACGGTAAAAATAAAGCAGTCTTTGGACCTTTTTCACAGCTATTTTGAATTTAGTGTGCAGAACACTTTATAAAAAATAGAAGACAATCAATTTGATTGAGAAATACCGAGGCAGATAACATTGTCACATAATGTATATTCTATAGATCAAAGTTTTTTCTATTATCCAGGCATAAACCAAATTATGAAACTTTAAAAATTTTGAAACAGTTTGGTTTACAGTTAATTTTTCCCTAGAGGAACATTTATTGGTATAAAACAGAAGAAATAAGTGTACAGGTTTGCCAACTTTTTAAAAAAAATCTCTTAGGACTTGACGCTGCCTGCCAAGTTTTAATTTACTAGTCGCCTCTACTTAAAATACAGTTTATAATACAAAATTTATAAGAATTTGAGGCATTGTCTTTAAACGTGATGCAACAGTTTAAAATTTGAATGAAATATGCAAAGAATCCCCTTCTACTTTGCATTGATGCAATTGTGGCATTTCCTTTGCTCTTTAATACAGCACGTCTAATTCTTAAACCAAAGCTAGCAAATAATGATGCAATAGTTGAATGTGTCCTCAATGTCTCACTCTAAATAAACTGATTAATCATACCCATTTCTCATCCCTTTACAATCCTTCAGCACTTAAAAGGTATTGAGTTAGCTTCGCAGTAAAAGTTTTTGATGAATTTGCTACTTGTTTGTACTTTGATTTTATTTAATATTAGTATGTTTGTTCTCCTTCTCTATAGTAAAACAAGGATGGAGACCATGATCATATACTCTTAGAACCTCTGATTTGCTCAGTAAGCATCTAATGCTTAATCCTGAGTTTTCTTGAAGAAAAATAATAATCAGGATCTTTGAGTATGGGAAGGGCTTAGAGAAGTTGTTATTTGCTAAGGAGATATCAATAACCATCTCTGTCCTCACTGCACATATTCTCCGAGTGATCCAATCTACTGTCATGACGTTAAGTACTACCTTAATGTCACCCAAATTCATATCTCCAGTTATAGTCTTCTTCCCGAGGTCCATAATGGCATTCCAACTACCATCACCACCTGGTTACCTACACAAACAAGTCAAACTCAAATATATAAACCAAAATGCTTTATCTTCTTTCTCTACGTCAGCTCCCTTTGTGGTCTGTCTTCTTCAGGCTGGCACCATCATCAATCTGCCCATACAATGCACTAGTGTCATCCTTGGTTCTTTCATTTTCCTTATCAGGTACCAGGTCCTGCTGATTCTACTTCTTTCGTAGCTCTTGAATCCATCCTCTTCCTACAACTTCCAGCTTTAGTTCCAGCCTTCATTTCTTACCTGATGATAGTAAGAGCTTTCTGATAGTCTTCCTGTCTCCAGTCTGGTTTCCTCTAATCATTCTTTCCATACCCAGGTCTGTGGCTTTCCTCATATGCAAATCTGACTACATCAGTGTACATTCTCTTTCCATTTCACTCTATAGACTGGATGGGGATATTTCCACATTCTGGCCTTTTCCTAGTTGAGGGACCTGCTCAGGAGGTCTCAGCCAACCTTGTTCTGAGAGCTATGCCCCTATTTCCACACTTTTAAAATGCTCTGTGTCTCAAATCATACTTGCCTGCATCAGCAGAGCTAGCGCATGCGCGCGTGCTCTCTCTCTTTTTTTTCTCACCCCCTTCCCCCCACCCTGCCCTCTGCCCTCTCTCTCCTCTGGCCCACCTTGTCTTCATTTTCTTGCTTTGTGGTAATTGCAGAGGACAAAGGGATGAGAAGAAGGAAGTATGGAGGGAAGAAATGAAAAGAACT